AACTATATACGCTCGCATAAGGGCCCACGGTACATCAGCAGTTCTGTGCCTGTCACGTTTATTAAAAGGCAAAAATTCAGACACTTAGGAACTGATTAGTAAATTACTGCAGTGATAGTAGCTGTCCGCCTTTTTCAAACGATTGTGGTATTACATCCATCCTCGTGTACCATCCGTTTTCAGTGCTTATACATGTCCGTGGTGTGTGCGTTAGGGCTGAATATTCACCGTTCATGGGTGTATAAAGTGTATTCCTAACTTGGGTTGAAATGTGCGGAAGCAAATCACCCAAAACTGACGGGACGACGGGATGATACACGGTAAAGAACATCGCAAACAATGCCACTTTTCAAGTAACAAAGTATGAGACTGCAAAAAGGGATGAAGGATTATTTTCAAATATCCGTCGGCTGGTGGCCGAGTGGTCTGCACGTTTGATTTGCAACCATAAGGTCACCGGTTCGAATACGCGTATGGGGTGGGCGTCCTCGTGGTATACACAGGCCGCGCGCGACTGGTGGTGGTCGCGCGGCAGCGAAGCGCCGTTACGGCGTACAGCTGACACATTATTTATTATTATTTATTTTACCCTCACAGAAGTGTGTTACGCTAAAGCAGCGACATAGCGGCGCAAACAGAAAAGGTTTGTGATTATCTCAAAACAGTTGATTCAAAGGGGATATCAGTTGGTGAACATCCGCCGAGTCCAGTCAATTAAGTAGGATTCAACCGAAAGTTCGACGGCCCGTAGCTTAGAGGTAATGAGCTTGTAATCTTGTGGTGCGTGTTCGAGCCTGCATAAGAGGAGGACGACCCTCCAGGTATCCTTAGCCCACGTGCGATCGGTGGTGGTTGCGCGGCAGCGAAGCGCCTGTGCTACGTATCTGCGTACTGCTGATACCTTGCATCGACATAAAAAATGCATGTTTGTCAGAAATGGAAAGAAACAGGATACTAGGAGCAAGAGTGCCAATGGTGTCGCGATTACGTTAAGCTTCTAACCGACTGTGGGCCCGTCAAGACATCCTCATCCAGGAAGAGGTTTCGGCTACGTTCTACATGCACATATGTTTCGCCATAGACTGATCAGTCCGGCTCGTAGTCTTAAGGATTACAAGTCTGCCCTGCAATCCGAGGGTGCGGGTCCGATCTTACGTTTGGGACGGAGGACTATCGCAATATCCGTAGCCCCCGCGCAAACGGTGGTGGTTGCGCGGCAGCGAAGCGTCGGTACCGCGTACCGGTGTTCTGCTGATGCGTTTTTCTCTCTGCAGACTGACCATCCCGGGACTTTAATCAGCCGAGTGCAGTAACGGTAGACAATACACTGTTAGGAAGATTGTTAGCAGACACAAGGAGAACGTAATAATAAATAATAATAATGTGTCAACTGTACACCGTAACGGCGCTAGGTGCCGCGCGACCACCACCAGTCGCGCGCGGGTTGTGTATACCGTGAGGACGTTCACCCCTACGCGGATTCGAACCGGTGACCTTATGGTTGCAGAGCAAACGTGCAGACCACTCGGCCACCGGCCGACAAGGAGAACGTAGTAGAGTCAAAGTAAGCGGGGCATACGCAACAGGCAGCCCGGGGCACCCCCAGATAGTTTATCGCCAAAGGTCTACCGGTTGCTGTAGAAGGTGCATTCTCTAATGATGACAAACAAAGTCAAGCCATCTCTCAGTGTGTCCAAAACACAATGGCGAATTGCCTAAGCAACACTAGAAGGGGATATGCAAGTGACTTGCATCGAAGGCACTGTGCGAAGGTGATGGATGTGACCTCGTAGTAAATGTTTTCGGAAGATGAACATCAAAGACGACCGGAACTGATGATAGAGCACATTCGTCCAATAAACAGTGTCACGTGACGAACATCCGAGAGGTAACATGCCGAATGCTGCTCTGAGGAGAATATGGTGCGTGAGCAAGAAAAAGTGCACGTAAGCGGTTAAGGATGCGGGAGAATTCAGTCAGCAGAGTGGAGAGGTTGATAAAACGACACACCCGGATGATTAATGCTTAGTTCAGAAGCGAAAGGGAAGGACAGACAGCTGTAATAAATGCAACAGCGAAAAGATTCTGCATTAAGAATTGTGGGGCATTGTAATTGTTAGGAGGGTTGCCTCCAAATGAATTCATCCCTCCTTTGACACTTGAGTTCACTAACTACAAATACCTTTTCTTCCATTTTAGCTCACCACTGATCCTATCTTTCCTTTCCATTGTACTACGTTCAATCTCTCCGGACTTTCCCACCTTCCATCAGTGCTTGCTCGCCTTATCTTCCGTGTGTTGACAGTGTGGCTGATTGAAGGACACCAAAAATATAACAGTAATCAATGGACCCAGGGCTTGACAGACATAGAGAATCGCAGATGAAATCCGTCTGTGGATGAAAGTGGAACAGAGAAGACGGCTGGACTCGGACTTGCGGTCACATATCTAGTATTCTGTCTGAGGACTAGGATCATCGAATTGGAATGCACGATTCCAATGGTCCCGTGTACGTGGTGTTAATGAGTTTTCATGGAGACAGATTGCTGGAGATGCAGTTGACGGGATCCATGGACTTAGATGCAAAGGTCGGCAGATTCTAGAGTCAGAACTACGAACGAGGTCAACGAGTAGAAAAGTCCCCGCTGAAGAAACGGAAAGTGTGGTTGTGACGAATCTCCACGGAAAATCTAATCCAAATCCCAGATTTCCCCGCGCTCCAGAAATCAGTCATTGCCCAAGTTAGCTTGTAATGCTCTTGAACGATGGCGGCTTGGCAAGGGAAGTCCGCGGCTCAGTAAGTTAACCCTTCCATTGCACGTAGGAAACGCGTATGGCAGTGGAGGATGAGTATACATTGCTTAGTCACGGCGATACACTTCAAATCCTTCGGCCCAATGATCTCAATCACAGGCACGTATGCGTAGGATGAGTGGGGGCAAATTGAATGTGCGCTGTTGGCGATTCCCAAAAGGGTGAAACGGCCATTAGGTGCTTCTCCGGATGTCTACAAGGACATTACAAATTTTCAGCAAAAGTTAGTTAACTCAAGGAACCAATCAATCAGGTGACACTCCATCCCAGGTTCTGAATGGAACGTAAACAGGGCACCACTGGTCACCGCCAACGGGAAACATGCGAAGGACTCTTGAGTGCGATCACGCACTTTCAAGTGGTGAGTGCACGTTGACCAGCGCTGCGTACAGATAAAAATACATTGACGAAATCAGTGTTATAAACTATGCCGAACATCTCCCATGTCTGCGAAGGGTTTCGTAAACAGCGTATGTCCTTAGAAGTGGTGAGATCTGGCGTGTGCGACGGATTCAACCACGAGGACTAGGTGTGCAAATACAATGGTGTGAGAATGCCAGCTCAATGGACCGATAAACGCGTAATGCCTCTACAAAAATTGAGGTATCTTACTGAGTAATCAGTTGCGAATCTGGTGTGTCTAGAAATCAAACCACACAGCTGCGCAATATGGTCGAATAGACAGTGAAATGACGAAGTTACTGAAGGAGAGACGCCGTATGCAGTAGAAATGGTGTAGCTTTGAAAGCGACACAATTGCTGGGCAGCGAGTAACGAGTATCTGGGCTAATAAAATTGTCGAATGTCGTGAAGGTGGTGGGGCCGGTTATTCACCCCGAGGATGTTTGTACATATGTACTGGCAACATGCTGAGGCTGATGTTGCATTCATGATGTTTCTTCACGGCAGATGGGCTAAACCAACTTACACTTAAACTAGATCTCTTTAAGCTGGAGAAATTTCATTCCACCTTATTTAGTTTGTTCGGCCTGTCTAAATAATCTTCTATTAACTTGCACACGTTGCTTACGCTAGTTGTGGTTATCATCGGTAACTTTATTGCGTTTGTAGAATTTTTGAGCAACTTGTGGACAACTTGTACTTATCGCGGGTGCGTTGCTAACCAACTTGCTTCATATGCTAATTTAGTGAACAGTTATGTTGGCATAGCCGTATGCTTTAGCCGATATATTTTATTGCATACAGTCATTTCAAGTGATTGGCTGTTGTTTGACATCCGCGGTGTGGCTGCGCTTGATGTGCATGTTGACAAGGTGCCTACCTGTCTATTACCCACTACCTCGTACATACTGGTTCCAGAAGACAGATTGTCGTTGTTGGAGGGGACGGAGTGCACGGTCCTTGTGTCCGTGCTAGGCTCGAATAGTGGTTCCATGTACTCAGTGTGCAGTGGACTACGGTCCAGCCACCGCCGTGTGTGCGCTTGATTCTCCAACTACAGTGTGCTTGTATTTGCCCTTGAAGGAGTGCCGGCCGGTTCTGTTGATGCAACGTGGCTCCCGTCCGCAGGCCTCTCGCTCTTATTACTTGGGTTTATACTGCATATGGGGTGTGTAGTTGGAGCTGTGGGTGGTGCAGTGCAAGCCACCCATGGTAGGCACAGGCGTCCTGTGGCTGACCACAGTGACAGGCAAATCCGAAACCGGATGCCGCCAACCATTGGCAACAGTCTAACGAACAGACATAGAGCCAAACAAATCCATGAAAATCATAAGAATAATACAGGTTTGATCACCATATCATCATGGCGCATTAGCTGAAGGTGACTAACATACTTCAGCTATTGTGCTGAGTGGGTCTTTTCTGATGAGTAGTATGGTTTAAATCCCATTTCAACAGTGAAGTGAAAGCAAAAAGCATATTCCAAATACTTGACATCCAACCGAAATTATCAACCAACATTGACATAAATGAGTACGAAACGTAGCTACTATTCTTATGGCAAAAGCATAGCAAATTATTCAGCAAAGAACAAGGTTCCCACTACCAAAGAGTTTCTCCGGGTGGTACAAATCCGCGATAATGGAGAAATTTGCGAAAAGTGAGTCTCAACCAGACGGTTAAAAGGAGGCAAAAGGTAAGAGCGGAGGTTCCTCATTAAACTAGCGTTTAATTTGTTGAATCTGAAATCGAACGAAGCACAAAGCAGGACTGGAAAAGCTTACCATGAGGATGATTTCCATGGGAATCTACTTGTGAATTTGTCGGAATGAGGAGCAGAAGTGAGACAGTGATTATATAGGCAAGGGTCGCCGGTAAATAACTCCGTGTATGCATGACACACCAAGGCCGGTGGACGCGTTGAGTGGGAGAAATGCCTGTTAAATTATCCAAGCATGTATACCTGAAAAGCAGATAAAATGCTGAAAGTAAATAACGTCAGATGAATTTACAAAAACAAGCCTGAAAAGAGAGAGAAAATGATGGCCGGTAATTGTCTCAAACAAAAACTCACCTATCAGTGAGACTATAAAGGAAAGCATAGGGGCCCCTAGAGCATCAATAGCACAGTGGCGTGTTGAATCGATGGTTTACTGTTACGTAAATAAAACCATTACTAAGCAGGCTGAGATATTACACAGAAGATCCAACGCATGCAGGAGTGACGGGACTCGAACCCAAATCTTACTAGCCTGAATCGCGGATCGCCAATTCCTAATAAGTGTAGTCTAGCCAATACCGATAACCTCATGCTGCATCGGCTGACGCGCAGTGACACTAGGAAAAGGGTTGTCTTGTCTGCTACATACAGCGGGGTCGATAAGTGAAAACAGGCCACCACTGAGGCCTTCCTTCTTTCTTTTTCCCCTGTACATAGTCTCCCCATCACCATTTCACCTAACCAAGTACTTCCTCCAACTCAGACTACCACACAAGCGATTGCCCACCAACGCAATCGTATGCCTCCGCGCGAAGCGGTCTACGGTGAGGACTGGGACGTGCACACACTGCTCGACCGGAACGCGAGTAAGTGTCCCAAGTGACGCATGGCACTGGTGGTGATGGAAACTGCGCGCTACGGAATCATTGCCGCACTTAGCGAGACTCGGCTCGCTGACCAAGGCAAGCTGCATGGAGTCCGTAGGCTAAAGGTAACAAGCTCGTCTTGTAATCTAGCGGTGCGGGTTCGAGCCTGCGTAGGGGCAGGACGACCCTCGCAGTATCTTAGCCCACGTGGGACCGGTGGTAGTTGTGCGGCAGCGCAGCGTCGGTACTGAGTCTCATTCTCGTTACATGTTTTAGTGGGTACCATGTGAACATGGGGTCGGATTTGTACTATCCGAAGGCTTAAACTGTCAGTTGGCGGCAGAGCTAATTGGTATCAGTCCATGACTGATGACGATTCGCCTGCGAATTGGAAGAGGGATCAGTTCTACAATCGATTTCCCATCGTGATACGGTCTGTGCGAGGGGCGACCGGCTATTCCTAATGAGTGATTTCAATGAGCGTGTTGGGCGTGATAACGCGGTGCGAACAGATGTCATCGAGCCGTATGGCTCGACATTGGCTCGGCCAATGGGAACAGTGACTGGCTGGTCTCACTGCGCGCCATTCACGGCCTGACGACCACAAACACACAGTTTGCACTGTGTGCGAGTGATATAGCCACCAGAATGCACCGACGGAGTGGTCACTTACACTCGCACGACTATAGCATTCTAAACTAGCGTGCCATGCGTGAAGTGTATTGCGTGGAGCTGAGTGTGGCCCTTATCATAAGTGGATGCGGACCAAATTGTACATGTATTTTCGTAAATATATGTATTGTCCGCCTGTCGTGAATCAGTAGCGCAAAGTTAACATTCCTTTCCTGGGACTGATGAGAAGAGGATGGAAGTGAAAATGGGATGGCTAACCGCATTTGCAATGTCGAATTCGTCGCCTTAGTCAGCAACCTGTTGCACCAAATCAGTGAACTGATGACGGCTACTGCCGAGCAAAACATCGGGTGCGCAAACAGCAAGTGGTCCGATTGGTTTGATGACAATAGCGCTATCATTGGTGCATTGGTGTCGAAGAATGCAGCGTGTGGAGCACCATACTGATGATGGGTTGCTGGACATCCATCGTTTCGGGGCGAGAACGCTATTGTGTGAGACAACCATCCGTATGTGGCTGTTTGCCGACGGCTGCGAGTTGTTTGCACACAGCGTGGATGAGCTGAAGTGCAAGACGACGGTTCTCGCTTCAACAGCGGCCAAATTCGGGTCCAGCATCAACACAAGTAAGACTGTGATTTTTCAGCGTTCACTAGAAAAGGAACTAGTTGGCTTACCACAAATCTAGATTGGTGATGAGGTTTTGGAGAACTCATCGAGATTTAGTCACCTCGGGATAGTACTTTTCAACGATCTCCAGGTAACGAGCGAAATGCGCCTTCGTGCATCTGTCGCAACGAGACTGGACCTTAACGTGGTGTGACGGTTTGCGTACCTCATTGAACCATTCAGCTATACTAGGAGATGCCTCCGGGCACCTAAAGAGCTACTGCTACGACGTTGGTTAATGGTGAGAGGTCAGACAAACTCAGTCTCCTGGTCTTCCAGGTTGGGGGTTTGAAATGGGGTGGCGTCCATTTCTGTAAAACTAAATCATTCCCACCTCCCGCTGTCTTGCGGACAGGCTTTTGAGCCAAAGGCTTTGGATGAGGACCCTAATCGTCCTCCTGTCTAGGTCTGGGCGCACTGGCAGTATCTTAGCCCACATACAACCATGATATTTTCTTCAAACATAAACTTCATCCTGCATCAGACGTTGCGCAGATTATCAAGGGTCGCCTTATCTGCTGCCTACAGAAGGGCGAATAAGCGAAAACATGCTACTGTTGGCGCCTCTCTTCTATCTTTTTCACCTGCTTCTCTTATTCCCATCCCGACCCCCATTACTAAGCTTTCTTGTAGAATTCCTAGCTTAATTGACAGCGACCGAAGTGCCACAGGAGAAGAACCATCTGTAGCCACTATCCCATAGTACATATCGGACGCCTATCGGTAAAAGTCCCTTGTAAGGCCACGCTATCCCGTTCCCATGGAAACATTCAACGTTCGCACTCTAAGACAAACCGGTCAACAGGCTGCACTCGCATGCACCTTGGACACACTTCGTATTGATGTGTTGTGTGTCCGAAACTAGGATCAACGACCCTAACGGCGTTATTGCATTAAGTGCACCCGGCTTATTCTCTCGTTGTTGGTTTCGCTCATCCGGAGACGCCGATGTAGCATTCACGGGTCAAGCTGGTGTAGGTATCATTCTAAGCTCCACGGCTAAGCCATCGTTGGTTGATTGGGTTCCGGTGAACAGCCGTTTATGTACAGTCCGTTTGACGACATCAGCTAAGGTGGATTCACGAAGTAATACAAAACGCTGTTTGTTTGTGATCTCCGTTTATGCTCCCACTGACTGCAGTTCTAATGCTGTCAAGGACACATTCTAGCACGAACTGAATGCCCTACTAATCAGTGCTACTAGTTCAGATATTATAGTACTTGCTGGGGATATGAACGCACAAGTAGGGCGTCTGAGCTCTTCAGAAGCTCAGCTGGGTGGTAATTATGGGCTTAACTCTGAACGGACTAACAACGGTGAGTGTCTGCTGCAACTGTGTAAGGAGCACCAGTTATTTTTTAGTAGCACTGCTTTTAGACACAGTGGGCGCCGAAGTGCCATTTGGCGTCTTCCTGTAGCTGGCCAGCGATGGACCCATATTGATCACACTGCAATAAGTTACAGATGGCGTGGTTCCATCCTCGATTGATGCTCATACTGGAGTACCTGTGTCGAATCCGATCATGCCCTGGTACGCTGTCGGTTCTCCATGAACTTTACCGGGAGGCGCACCAAGTGTCTCCTCGAACAGGCAACTGAGAAATAGTCAGCCCTCGATCAGGCAAGCCTATCAAGACGCACTGCGTGCCGAACTTTCGCTGTCTTTTCCTAATGACACTGAGCTTCAGTGGAATAGGATCTCGGCCGCCATGCACGACGCAGGAGCATCTGCTTGTGGCACTATCCATCGTCACCGCACCAGTCACTGGATATCCGAGAGGTCGGTGAACCTGTTGGGATCTAGAAGACACCTCCCGGCTGGCTCTGAACACAATGTTACTAGACGGACTATTAGGCGTGAACTAAAGCAGAGCATACGTGTTGACAAGGAAGCCTGGTGGACTACTCGCGCTCAAGAAATGGAGGAGGCAGGAGCAGTAGGCAACTACTGCAATCTCTTCCAGCTAATCTGTACCACTGGTCTCAGAAAACCAGGCGTCAGTGGCACAATCAGACAGCGCGGGTGCGCTGATACACAATAAGGAGCGCCCGATGACTCATTTGGCGAAACACTTTCAAAATCAGTTCAGCTGGTCCCCTGCTCCCGGACCTCTTCCTACTCAGGTGACACAGGACGATCCATGGAAGGTTAGTTTAGAGTCTCCGTCGGAGGTCGAGGTGTGAAACGCGATCACAGCCCTTAATCGATTTCGTGCCGCTGGCCCGGATTCCCTCCCATCTGCACTATTTAAGGATGGAGGTGAGGTCCTCTGCAAAGCACTGACCTCCCTATTCGAACGTATCTGGAAGGAAGAGTGTCCCGGCTAATTGGAGCGAATCGATTATAGTGGCAATATACAAGAAGGGCAGTCGCACAGACTGTTCTAACCACAGGGGTATTAGCCTAACGCCAGTTGTGACAAAATTATTGGCCTCGATTATCGTTCGTCGCCTCACTGCAGAACAGGAATCTCGGATTAGGGAAGAGCAGGCCGGTTTCCGACCAGGACGTGGCTGTATAGATCATATATTCACTTTGCGGCAGGTGCTAGAGCAGCACCACGCATACCGCAGACCGACAATAGCTGTGTTCCTCGAGTTCAAGAGTGCGTTCGATTCAGTCGATCGATCGATTCTGTTCGAAATACTTGCGCGGGAAAGTGTTCCCACGAAATATGTGAACATACTTCGTGCTCTACACACGAACACTACAGGCCATGTCAGGATCTATGGTGTCCTATCGGCTAGCTTTCCGACCACAAGTGGCGTTCGTCAGGGTTGTCCGATTTCCCCATTTCTGTTCAATTTCGTCGTGGATTCCCTTGCGGAATCTCACGATGTAGGCGTTGAAGTGCTGCCTGGTTAAAGGTTAGTTGATCTAGATTATGCGGATCACGTTGTGACGGCACAATCAACCCTAAATAGCCTGTCCAGAGTGGTACCATTATTTAGTATGCAATTCGCACCTTCGAAGTGTAAAGCGTTGCCGCAGAACCACCAGCCACTTTATGACCCCTTGACGCTTGCTAACGAGGAACTCGAGGTGGTTGATCATTTCACTTACCTTGGCAGCT